TTTTTCAAGGTGATCAGCTCTGCGAGAAATGGCTGGTCAATGTTGTTTCATGTGAACCCCGTTCGTTGCAAAGCAGAATGAGAAATAACGTGTGTTTCTTTCGTCTCGCAGTCAGAAGAATCCGAATTTCTTACAATTTTCAGGGAAACGTTCGCCTCGTTTTTTACGAACAGCTTTTCGAACGGACTATCGTGAATAATTTTCTGACGACAGGAACATCCTGCTGCTTTTTAGAGCATAAAATTGGGGAGTTAAATACTTGTAAATATTCAAAAGCAATTTGCAGAATTTCTAACCTAGTAGACTTGCGTATATAATTGTGTTTAATGGACAAACACCAAAAGATACGTCAGAAAAATTCACGAACCTAGTGACAATCGTGAAAACTAATTTTTTAAAATTTTCATCTCTGAACATATCTGATACTTTTTCAAAGCACGAACACAAAACGACAAAGATACGATTCGACGAAAAACACGGAAAAAGTAAGACAGTAAGTGTTCGGGTCGTGTAAAAAGATTTATTTAAAATGATCCGCTGGAGCATGTGTTAGTAACATTACATAGGGTAACTATCCGTATTTCCGTGCTCTAACGTTCAAATAAATCATACAAACCAGCAAATAATATAGGTTATAAATCACACGTCTAATATTGAAATTTATTATACCAATGTCAAAAGAAATATTCTTTATATCAAAAGCCAGACTAGTTGCTCTAATTCCATCCTACAAGACGAAAATTTAAAAAACTACCACTAGTCTAATATTAAAATTAATATACTATCATAAAAAACTACCACTAGTCTAATATTAAAATTAATTATACCAACGTTAAAAAAAAAGGAAATATTCTTTATATCAAAAGCCAGACTAGTTGTTCTAATTCAATCCTACAAGACGAAAATTTAAAAAATTACCACTAGTTTAATATTAAAATTAATATACTATCATAAAAAACTACCACTAGTCTAATATTAAAATTAATATACTACCATAAAAAAAACTACCACTAGTCTAATATTAAAATTAATATACTACCATAAAAAAACTACCACTAGTCTAATATTAAAATTAATTATACCAACGTTAAAAAAAAAGGAAATATTCTTTATATCAAAAGCCAGACTAGTTGTTCTAATTCAATCCTACAAGACGAAAATTAAAAAAAAAAACTACCACCCTTCCCTCCCCTCGTCGCGAAGCTTTTTGTTCCAAACGACGCGGTATTTGTATTACACATACAAAGGTAGACTGACTGTCTCTGAGTGTTTCGCAGACGGTGATAATTATCACCGTGAGAAACGTCATGTATCACCCAAGGCGACCCACCTTGCGAGAGATGGTGCCGATGCTGATGTTGGCGGCGGATGGTGGTGGTTGGCTGGTTTCAAAGGAGGAGCCTCCACCTCCAACGTGGAGAAAGACGAAACGAAGGAACGGCCGCGAAACGAAGAAGACAGGACGAGCACAAGGATTTCGAGAGATGGAGCGGCACGCGGTGGGATTTGATTTACGCATCGAGTCATTAAATTGGATGTATTGTGCGATAGAACGCCGCGCTGGAATGACTCCTCGGGATGGCCCTATAAAGTCTTAATTACTATGCCACGCAGCCCTCTGTCCTGGCCTTAATCGACCGACGCGTTTCGAAGGAATCGTGAAAATCACGGTGGAGAGAGTCTCTCCTTCGGGTACAAGTCGTTTCTTTTCTCTCTCCCGTTACTCTGGTTGGTTCCTTTCCTTTTCTTTTTCTGAAGTTTTGGAATTTTTTTTTTTTTTTTT